TGGGGAATTCTGGGAGTTGAAGTCCACACATCTTAAAGCTGCCAAGTTTGAAAAACACTGAACTATAGCTTCTGAAGTCACCTTCAAGAGCACCCCAAGATAAAGCAAGTTGTAGCAGCTTAACTGGGAGATGACAAACCATGGTGGCCAGTGCAATATCATGATATCTTCTGTGCAATACATTGTTATTTGACAATCAGATCCCCATCTGTACCTCATCCTTTGGGCAGAGTTGGGTTGAAAACAAATACCATTACCAGGAAGAATTAAATGGGGGGTGGGTGGGGTGCAGAATGCCATTTAGCCTATGGAATAGGTCATTTTTCTATGCTGGGCTTGCTTTAAAATGTTTATGTTTTTGAGATTTACCAAACCAACTAAGAATAAGCCATGATTTCTACTTCAGCTATGTCAAACCTTAGCTAGAGGAACCCAGAATTCATACACTATTTTCAAACCCGTTTCTAGTTGGGGTTTATTGCCAAAAAAATGAACCATCATTTATTGCCTAAGGTGGATCCAGATGTTCAAGCAAAGTATAATTAGGCAAGCTCGAGCCTATTCTTAATGGCGTGTAAAGACCAGGCCATTAAGTCTGTATTTATGATTTTGTTTTTGCTTCAAATTAATACTTGATCATAGCTATCATAAAAAATTACAACCCTTTGCTGCCACCTGCTGTCTTTTCACAATTGATCTTCATTCCACTAGAATGTTTCCAAAAATACCATGAAACAAAATACAGAAACCAAATGTTTGTGCCCAACGCATGTATGTCTTCAGTATAAGTATGCATTTATGGATGTCCTGAGGCAGAAATTCAGTACGGTACAAAAAACGCTGAAGCAGCAGCAACGTCTTCATTCAAGGGTATCTGATACAAGGCAATCATTAACATGTGCAAGGAAACAGAAAGGCCCACATTTAGCTCAGGTTCAGAGATAGAATCCAATTACTGTTCCATCCATGTTTTGCTTCGACAGTTCCTAAATAATTACACTACCAGTCTTTATTTTGGTTAACAGAAGAATTGAAGAAGTTGGAGCAGGAGAGGCAAGCCCTAGAGGCCACTCTTAAAGATAGTGAATTTGAAGAACAAAACTATGGTATCCATGGATTCTTCAGAAGAGCCACCAAACTCAACTTTACGAAGACGATGCCCAAAAAAGGTACAACCTGAAGCTGAAAACAATACGGGCATAAGGACCGCCCCTAAGCTTTTTTCTGAGAACAGAGCACTGCTGTTGAGACAAAGTCATGTTAGTCTACTATAACAAAAGCAACCGCATTCTGGTAGCAGCTTAAAAAGCAGATTTATGGCAACTCAAATTGTCATAAATCACCAAAAAGGAGGAAATAATTCAGCAAAAAAGAAAATATAGATTTACAAATCTTACACTAATAACATTTGCAAATATGGATATTTTTATGGAGAAGCAAACTGGGACAGAATTGCTATAATCAAAAAAGAAATGCTATGTATCTTACCATAATGCAGAAGACCTTGCTCTGTTTGCTGGCTGAACCTACTGGCCCATTGCTAACTGTTGAAGAATCTTATAAGGCCAACATCTCTCTTGCTAATGTTCTCTACATCAGACACGGTAGCATGTATGGCTTCTCAACAGTACCTCCAATTCTGGAGCAGTCATTGGGCACAGAACCTTTTAGGGGAGAAAGAGCTAGCATCCAAACCAAAAGGTAAATCCAAGACAGAACAAAATATCAGAGGTGATGAAGGGTGTGTGATTTGTAATGCATTACAACATGTTTACTGGTTCCAGTCTTTTGATGTTTGATTCTCACCATCTTTTGAGTGATGTTTTAAAACCCGGAAGTTTGCTTTTAATATTATTTACCTAACCAAAATAAAAATGTCTAAAACAATTAAAGCTAACTATGGTGGACTTACCACAGATTTCATCCCAACCCCATTCTAATACTGTATGACGGTCACAATGTGTATACGGTATACCTTTATTCGAAAGTAGTATTTCATGTCCTAAACAGCAGCTTAACCAAGCAGGAGCATATTATAGGAATTGAACCATAAGAATAAAAGGGTTTTAGTCCCCCTTTCTTCTACACATAACTCAGGGTATTATGGTACTTTAAATGAGTATTTAATGAGGCTCAGAACAGTTTCTGTGGCAGAAGGATCTATTTCTTCTGAAAACCCATTTTTCTTTCTCCTGTAATTTGTCAGGCAAAATTACTTTATAAAAAATTCTGTCTGCATGGTGGAACAGAAACCAAACTAAAGCATTGTAATATTAAAAGGTAGACTTTCTAAGTAAAACATTGCACACCCAAATTACCACCAAGTTACATTTCTTTTATTAAGGGTCTATCAAAGGACGAACACTAAATACTGCAATAGTATTTTCATATCAAAAGAGAAATAACGCTAATTAACATTTACTGGGAAAGCTACTGTGGCGTATACCTAAATGAGAGCAACTAAAATACAGACACGAACTTTTTTATAGATGGCCACCAGGCAGCAAGCAGCTTGGTCTAGATTGAAATTTAGAAACTAGGAAGCACTATTGAATTAAAGAGTACCAATCCCAGGGAGTTCATTTAGATAGCAACTTCATTTCTTCTTACTTCAGGATTGCAGCTCATTTCCACTAGGATATTTAAGAATGAATAAGGGGAAAAAAGAGGACAGGTGGCATAATCCAAACTAGTTCAGTGACATCAACTTTTATTTGAATAAATTAAAAAGTGATTTTCAAAAATACGTATTTTAGATATTTGCACCAGAATTAGACAACCTGCTTTTAGGCTGAGGATGGCTTTCAGTCCTGTGTGGCATACCCAAACTCACACCTAAAAAGGAGGTGAGGTCAAAAGAAAGGAAAGGCAGAAGAAGAAATTAGACAAGGAACCAAAAAAAACCTCATAAACAATTTTGCCACCATCGCCCAATTCATGCTTAGTTTAACACCGAAGGTAAACCATTCTGAACCAGCTGTATATACATATAGATGCATATGAATACATTCAACAAATGATTTATACATTTCATTTATGAACTTTTTTATACCCTCACCTTTTCAAAGCAGTTGGCTGCCAAAACTGTTATAAACTTTGCTGCCAGATTTCAGGGGCAAATAAAGAGGCAGCTCGAGGAATTGCACCGAAGCACTGGAACAGCTGCATGCAAGTTGGCAGTCTCCCTTGATCTGCGCCCAACAGCTTTGTCAAAATCACACATACCACATACCTAAAACTAATAATTGCCAACGCAAAGCTTAAAAAAAAACCTAAATTACATTAACCGGATGGATTTCAATCAGTTTTTTTTCTTAAAAAAAAAGTCTGATTATCATTCCCATTCCCCTAGTAAATGACAATATTCTAAGCTTTTCTATTTTCTTCCATCAGGTTGAGTCAAGAGATTTGCTGGGGTGCCCCTTGCTGTACACTCATTAGGAATTATTTACCCATTTCATTTATTAACTTTTTAATACTCTAACCTTTAGTTTGCTGCCAAAATTCAGTCAAAACTTTGCTGTGCATAACATGAGAAAGGAAAAGCCACAAGTCTTCCGGAAGGAAGGAAGGGAGGGAGGGAGGGAGGGAGGGATATATATCAATATAGATATATATAAAATTACTATTATTTTGTCACCACACTAACAGCTACCTGAGATTAGTATCTTACTGTACCTAATGACAGGGGCAAAAAATATTTTGTCTTGTATTTATTCAATTTTTTTTTTTTTTACCTGTCACAGTCGAAATCTTGGAGGGTTATTATCCAAATCTTTGTATATAGCCAGGCTTGAAACTACAGCACTTGTAACCTTAAAATGTATGTTCGTAAGATACCAGAAAATTATACAAAGGCTCACCCCAGTCCTTCCAATGTTCGCTGCTTAAATGTGTGCCTCCTGCTATCAAATCATGATTTTTCAATGGTGTACATAGAGCACTTTCAGTTATGATGCAGCAAAGCTCTGAGCACGTCTCTCTCGTTTCAGATTGCAGCATTAGCACAATCTCTTCAATACACGTCGGGGAATTCAATCAACGGCTGCTTGAGGCTAGCATCCAGTTTAAAAAGAAGCAAGGGAAGGGCACCATCGACGTGTGGTGGCTGTTCGACGACGGAGGTAAGCCCTACAAAAGACCATCACGCACCTCAGGAATCGGGACCAATGCTATAATCCAGCGTAAGATTTGCAAACCCATTAACAAAAAACGTAATTAAAAAAACTTTTTAAAGTCAGTGACCATCCATTTTCAATATTAATGGGGAAAAAAATTCTCTTAATTACGCAATGTTCTGACTTGCTCCATTTGCGTGAATAATTTGATTTAATTTCTTCACCCAGGGCTAATACTCTTAATTCCCTACATTCTGACACTCCGGAAAAAGTGGAAGGATTGCAAATTAAGGATCTTTACGGGTGGAAAAGTTACTCGTCTTGAAGAAGAAAAAGTAATGTAAGGATATCCATATCCTTACCCAGTAAATATACTTTTACGGCTTCCAGAAACTATTTGTATATGGCAGAAAAAGAAGAAAACGATGTATCTGAAGCTACTTGAGTTATCTAAAGCTTTATATAGCTATTAGGCAGTAGAAGAAAAACTTTGACAGCTTATTTCGTTGCAGTGTTTCTTCTTAAAAATTTTCACTATTACACGCGTGGTCTTTGTCCATTGTTTCATCTCAATGCCCTGCTAAAAGGGATTCTGGATTCTCTTTATGTAGACAGACAGAATATGACCTGGTCTTGAAAGAACTATATTTTATATATCAGACTGCAATCTTAGCACACTTGGCTACTTCAGTGTAGATAAATTGCACTTTGCAATCAAATGCAAAGGATTACCTATCAAAATATTGCATCCCATGTCTCACAAATTGAACAGGATTTACTTCTTAATTATGTTTTACTATCAGCTTTCTGAATTTTGAAATTAAAACAGCTTCTTTTTAATTTTTCAGGATGGCTTCACTGTTAAGTAAGTTCAGAATAAAATTTGCTGACATTAATATAATTGGTGACATCAACATGAAACCCACTAAAGAGAGGTAAGCATTTGAAATTAGCAATTGAAATGGAAAATATTTCAAATTTTATTTCAGCAATTTTCCAAGTAGCAGTGCAATTTAAAAAAAACCAAAACATCTAGAAACTGAATGTGTAAAGCTTGTCCTTGCTGCTGGTTAAGTCTTCTTTCTTTCATTTAGGAAAAAAAATCAAGCTAAATCATGGGTGTTCATTCTATTACTGGGGAGAAGGTAGCAAACTGCCAAAGAAAAATGGATTTTTAAAGCATTATTGAAATAGTTGGACGCTCCTGAAGCAGGGGATGTCAGGCAGCCTTGGACAACCACTTTCTTTTAAAGGATAACATTATTAACTAGATAACTATAATTTATACTATTTCATTTGCATGCACGCACACACACACACAACTCTAACCACAATTATTTGTGGTCATTTTGATTGACTGAAATATACTTTATTCTGTCTTGAATTGTGGCTAGTCATATGGCTATGAATGCTATAATAGTTTGTTTGGCGAAAGAATGTTAAACACTGGAATTGTATTTTATTATCCCAAATGCAGGGGTAAGTATGTGATTTGAACCCAGCCTGGCTATGCTGCTGAGAGCTACCTGGTCTTTTTGAGAATTTAAACATGCTATGAAGCCTCAAATGATTTGACCAGAAACCAAGATGGAATGCAAGTTAACAATCTATAGTGCCACATTCAAGTCCTTGAAAAGCCATTATTTAGAAAGTCTGTAAGAGCTCAGAATTAGGTGTCTAGATATAGCCAATTTATTTCAACATCACATTTACTGGAACTAATTTCCAGAGGGATAATGATGTTAGTCTGTGGCAACAAAGAAAAGATGACATGGTGTAGCACCTTTGGTTTTTATATGAGATCATTTCCCCCGTGTTCAATGGCATTAATTTCCAGCTCAGTTTTACTCTTATAATCAGCTGCAGTAATAAAAAATAAAGCCAGCATTATGGTATAATGCAAGCAGACATTTTCAAAAACAGTCTTGTTTCCTGTGTACCCACCTATGGAAATACTCTGCAATATTGTGAAATATTATATATTACTTTATAAATATGAAATATAAATTGACAGCAGTGACAAACATCATAGACCTAACCTGACAAACTGTTACCATGCTGCAGTGCTATACCCAAGCTTAAAACCTGATAAATGTAGTTTAAAGATTGTGACTGAATTCAGCTATAGTTCCACAGCTAAGAGCCTGCCCAATCTTAGAATATCTGTAAAATGAAGAGTTAAGAGTCCTGCTGTGAAGCCTCTTTATAATTTCTGTTCCAGCTGGAAATTCTTTGAAGAGATGATTGAACCATACCGCCTTCATGAAAGCTGCAAAGATTTAACAACTGCTGAGAAATTAAAGAGAGAGGCACCATGGAAAATCACTGATGCGGAACTGGAAGCATTCAAGGAGAAGGTAACGAGCCATACTTCTAGTTACCTTTGACGCTATGAAGAAGCTATTTGAAAGAGAAAGCAGGGCATATAGATTACCACCAGAAAAAAAAAACATCCATGGCCTAGATCAGCTGCTTTTTCTACCCAAATTTTACTCATAATCATTTTAAAGCAATGGCTTAGATCAAGATTATTCCCTTTATGAATAGAAGAAAGTCTCTCATCTGAGAAGAGCTTTTGACTTGGCAGAGACTTCAAACCTTAAAGCAGTGTTTCTTAACCTTGGCAGCTTGACAATGGATGGATTTCAACACCCAGAATCCCCCAGTCAGCATTCTGGGCATTGAAATCCACCCATTTTCAAGCTGCCAAAGTTGAGAAACACTGCCTTAGAGAAGGCAATGTTTATTTAATTGTATAGCCTATGCTTTCCAAAATCTGTACAGGTAGTCCTTGCTTAACGACCCTAATTGGGACCATACTGAAATGGCAGTTTCAATAGCCCTGGTTGCGGTTGTTAGGCCAGGACCGCACCATCGTTAGGTGAGGATCAGAGTAGGATCAGATCAGAACAAGTTTCAATAGGATCACTGATCCAAGAGTAAGACTAATTGTACATTTAAAAATCCTTCCAACTCTTACTTTCTTTAAATACATTTATGTGCATAGTTATTATATTCTATAGCCATCAATATTTCATTAAAGGGGTAAAATAAATATGGATTCATATTGATTTAATAACACAAAATAAATACTGTAAGTTTGTTTCCAATTTGCAAATCATGTACTTTACAGTTTACAAAAGTCACATTTCAGTCAACAGATTTATCCAAAGACAGAATAGTAGAGTGTGATCTTATTTCAAAGTTATTCACAAAGAAGGACATCTGGAATATACTTCAATTTAATTTTAAGCATGACAGAAAAATGAACCATTTTTCTAATGTAATCGGCTTTTGATTTTCAACAGAGTTACCGTCAGGTCCGTTTGAATGAACTCCTACAGGAACACTCTCGAGCTGCTAATCTAATTGTTTTGTAAGTTATATATTTTTAATGTGGGGTCTCTGCTGGGACTTTTGGGCAAGATCACAGGTTGAAGTATAGTCAATTACAACCAGTTTTCTGTTTCTCTTTGCTTCCATCTGGTAACCCTAATTTGGGAGAATATTAATATACTAGCGATGAGTATTACTAATACTTTCATCCTATTCAACAGGACCCTACCAGTGGCAAGAAAAGGAATTATATCTGATTACCTCTATATGGCTTGGCTAGAAATTCTCTCCAAGAACCTACCTCCAGTTTTGCTCGTTCGAGGCAACCACAAAAATGTACTGACATTTTACTCGTAGCAAACTCCCCCTGGAGTCCATTATATGCATTTTGCACATAGCGGTGGATTTAACATAACAAATAGACTCCAACATGTTACTTTGCCATCAGCATCTGACAGTAAAAAACGAATCATATATGCAAATGATTGTAACAGTCCACTTTATAGGAAGATGAAATGGAAAATCAGGATTGACAGGACAGGGTAAAATTGAAGAGAGTACCCTGGAAAAAAAAAAAAAGGATCAACTGCATTCCACATTTCAACATTTAAAGTCTCATTTTAAAATTCTAGCTTTCATCATAAAAGAGAAAAACTCCCCATGATATCAGAATATATATCATCTTCCATTCCTATTATAAACACATTAGGTTTGACTACTGCAGTGGTCCAGAATAACATAGAACTCTAGTTATGCAGCAACTTCTTCCATTCTCCCCAAAAGAATCCCAAATGTATGATTTTGCATTTAATGCTACACTTGCCTACATAACTTCAACGTTTGTGTTCCATAAATATATCTGGTTATAATCTTTTTTCTATTCATGACAGTGTAGCTGGGGAGCAAAATGTTATGATTTACAATGTGTAACATGTAATTTCAAATTATCACCTCAAAATAAGCTGAAATCATATTCAATCATTATCAAATGCTTAAGACAACTTTGAAAGCAAAACTATATGTACTAACTTAATTTTTTTTTTAAATTGTAACATTGATTTCTTTAGAATTATAAATTGAAGTAAACTAGCACAGTGCATTGGCATAACTTGGAGATGCTTTTTAATAAGTTTTAATCTTTTCTGACTGGTAAAAATATTTTAACTTGTATATTAATTTAATATATTAACAATAAATAAAAATGAATTCAAAGTTTATCCCTATGGCATATTCTGATTTACTGATTTTTATTGTTTCCATATTGTGAAAAAATTTCAAGTGGGCATCTTTATTAAGTTTGTTGCAACAAATGCCGCATTGAACATTTGAAAAACTAACACATTCATTTTGTCACAGATTTTTATGCACTAGAATTCATATTACCCAATGCATCATAAACTGGCAACTACTGTACACATGGACAGAGGTGAAGAAAGGAATAAACAATGTGAGCAAATGTCATAAAATGCAAAAATATGTGGCTTGTCATAATTCAGGTGATAAGTATTGTGGCCATTCATAACAATATTTGATAATAACACAATTATCTTAGATGAGATTATTTCATCTACAATAATAGTTTTTCAAGTTTTAGTGCTTAAACACATTTTACTAGACAAAATTTGATTTGGGTTATTAATACAGTATCACCCAACAATATTTGCTTTGTAGAGGCATTCTTGATACTGGCAACTATTATCTTTGTAAAATGAGACAAGAATGGGATGAACAGATATAAACCTATTTATTATTTCTTGAAAAAAAGCTCAACATAATACACTGGGATTGTTGATACAAGTATAGAAAAAGAAAATTACCAAAGGACATTTAACTAGTTTGTGGGGCAGTAGGGAAAGAGAGAACTGAGAAAAGACATCAGACTACAAAATGAGATAGGGCATGGGAAAATAATGTTTTTTGAATCCACCTTCCTCAACCCGGTAGAACCACAATTCCAGGAATTACCGTGTAACAGTCATATTCAGCGTTATAAAATTGCCTTTCACAAGATGCAAAGATAGGAATTAATAGCTTGCTGGCATGAATACGTGGTTTTTTTCCTGCATACTGTTAGTGCAGTCTTTCAAAAAAGGCAGAGATAAATTCATACAGGATAGCTCAACCAATACATCCTTGTAACTCCAAGAAATACCCTTTGTGTTGCCAACATAGTGTGCTTTTCCGGGGCTTTATTTACAGGACCCACAGAAACTCAAGGGCCATCTTGATCAGGAGAACCATTAGCCTGAGCCATTTTCAGGGGCTCTCCTTCAGCTGAACTTACTCCAGGTGACTTACACACAGAGGCAGCCTTGCAATTTTCCCGGCCTGATATGGGAGCCCTCTTTCTTTTCCCCATGAAAAGATGCCTTTGGGTTTGTTGGACTCTGGATTTAATCTGTAAAGATAGATAAATCCCAAGATGGGTGGCTATATAAATTTGATCAATCAATCAATCCCAAGATGGGTAGCTATATAAAGTTGACAGAATCATTCCAAGGTGGGTGGCTATATAAATTTGATAAATACATAATTCTCAGGATGGAAGCTATATAACTTTGGTAGGTAGATAAGTAAATAAATGAATCCCAAGATAGGCGGCTATGTAAATTAGATGGTAGGTAGGTAGGTAGGTAGGTAGGTAGGTAGGTAGGTAGGTAGGTAGGTAGAAAGAAAGAAAG